TCCCAGCCGGGCCAGTGTTGAGCGGCGGCCTGTGATCCAGGAGGTCGGGGCTTGATTCTCGGTCAGGGCACATGTTCGGGTTGTGGGCTCGATCCCCAGTGGGGGGCGTGCAGGAGGCAGCCAATCAATGAGTCTCTCATCACTGATGTTTCTCTCTCTCTCCCTCTCCCTTCCTCTCTCTGAAATCAATAAAGAAATATTTTTAAAAATAAAAAAAAGACTGAGATTTCCAAAAGTTAGTGTTTCTTTTCCAGGAGAGCAGCAGACAGGACAGAGACAATCTCAGAGAACAGTGACAGGAAAGGGACAAGTTATGAAGGGAATGTGGTATAGCCTACAGTGGCAGCTCCCAAAAAAATCAATTCCTGGCCCCAGTGAGAAGCTGAAGCATCCGTTATTATTAAAGTCTGAAGAAGCAAATTACAGTAAACCGCCAAAGGTGAGTGCGGTTTGTTTTTCACATAAGGCTCCAGCTCTGGACAAAGAGCTGGAGTGATTCCAACTTTCCACAGGCAGTTTGTCTTCAGCTTAATAAACAAGAGACAGTGCAGGTGAGGAGAAATGCATTTTCCATGGGGACAGAATAAATTATAACAGGAATTCGCGACCGTGCTGGGCCAGCTACTGAACTCTGTGCTGCGAGCACAGAAGTCCTCCAGCAGCGACCTGCAGCCCACCTGCCTCCCTCCTGCCCAAGATCTTGTGACCCTCGGCCCCCATGGCCCCTGTGGCCCCCACACCTCCTGCTTGAACTATTGCACCTGTCACCTACCACACCCAGGCAAGCCCTGCAACCTGCCCTCTCATCTTCCTCAACGCTCTCACGGTCTCACCAGCACCTTCCAATAGAAGCCAGATGACACCTATGGAGGGTCAAGCCTCCCACAGTCTGTCCGAAACTGTCATTCCTCCCCAGAGCCTCTCTCTCTCCTGACTCCTGCCGCCTCCCTCTCCACCTGCTGAGGTGGAGCTCACCCTTTGGTCAGGCTCCAGTCAAGGGCCCAGCACCCAGAAACCTGTACCTGATCATCAGCCCAGGCAGCACTCCCGTCCCCACACTCAGGGTCAGGGCCACTCAGCTTGATGTCACAGATATTGCAGGTCCAGTTCCAGACCACAGGATCCCAATAAAGGGAGTTGTGATCTGTGTGCTAGTGGAAGGCCTTCCCTGCAATTTGTTAAGAATCACAAGAGTTGTGAAGCACAATAAAATGACCTGATTTTGCCTTAGATTGGAAACAGAAGTAACGTGAAATGGTATGGGAGAGACTAGCAGCATTCAAAAGTGCCAGGGAACACACAGGCCATGAGAGAACACCCAGGGAGGGCCGTAAGGCCTTCAAGGAAGAAGTGACTAAAGTGGGGTCAGCAAGAGAAGGAAGGAGGGGCCACCCAGGTGGAGAGGACAGTCTAAAAATGCACAAAGGTGTGCACGTCAGAATGGCAGGAAGGAGGCGCAAGGGTCCGGAAGCAAGAACAAGGCTGAAACATGGAAGGAGGCGGGGACCACAGTTAGAGCGCCCCATGCACCAGCGAGAAGCACACCTGCTTTTGAAGAGAAACAGAAAGCGTCCTAGAAGAGGGACTCAAGGCAGTGACAGGGAGAGGGGTCTCCAGGCTCTCGTGATGGTTCAGTTAAAGATGTTCAGAAAGAAAGAACAGACGAACGTAGCGGGGGAACTGGTAGAACATGCGCAGAGAGAAGAAAGGAACAGTCCAGAATGAGCCCTGGTCTCCCTCCTGCACTTCTGAGTGAACGGCTGTGGCCAGAAAAATAAGTAAGTGGCTAGCCCACTCTTCTCTGGGAGAAGTTCCAGCACACGGCTGGGGCCAGCAAATCCGAGATTCAGTGCACTGGAGAGGGGCGAGCAACAGTGTGACTTCACGGGCACCACTCCTCCCCGAAGGCAGCCAGCTGGGGGCCAGGGACCTCCCCCTGGTTTCTCCTGAGGAAAAGTGATGGCCTGTGAGTGAGCACCCACTTCCTCAGTGTGTGGATGGTGCTAAAGAACCCACTTCTCTCCTGCCCTATTCATGACACTAAGGTCCCAAAAATGTCTTTTTTTAATTCAGGCTACGAGTCGGGATTGTAGGTAGCATTAGTCCTTGAACCTGTCTTTACAAAATGGGAATCATTTGATAAAATGGTCTACTTTATAGAGTTTTTGGGAAGATTAAACAGAAATAATGCTAATAAGTGGCTGGTCCAGACCTGACAATGCTCAGTCACTATTAATCGTCTCCATCTGTCTACAACCCACATGGGGTCTAAGGTCCTGGTGTGGTGACAGCTGTATTTAGTGCTAGAAGTTTACAAAGTGGCATCTGATTTCAGCAACCACGGTTAATGTGAGTCCACACCTGGAAAACAGGTTGGGCCACAAGTGGTCCACAGTGGAAGGCTTCTGAAGCTGTCAGACAGAGAGCCATCAATGAGTCATCTCCCAGTTCCAAGGTGCCACGAATGAGCCACTGAGTGACCAGCTCTCTCCAAATAGGGGCTGACCCCGCAGGCCTCCCAATTCCTCAGACTGGACTACATGACAACGCATCGTCCACGGGCCAGACTCTGCAAGGGTCCTGTGGGCCTCAGGGCCACTGTTTTCCTCTCTATAACTTGCCCTGGCTGTGGATAGTTAAGATTCTGAGTCCTGAATTCTATGACTTGCTATGTAAGCAAGCAGCCAGCATGTCTATGAATCACAACCAATGAAGAGGACTTCTAATTAACAACAGCCATGTTCTTTTGCATATACATACTGTCTGACCAGAAATGAGCCCAGCCTTTTATTCACAAACCACTTGGTAATCATCATTGCAGCTTTTTGTGATTTGGTTTTGTTTTAAAAGAGAGGAGAAGGGATACCCAGACCACGAATCCCACAGTGCAATTTTACTTCCAGCTTAGAAGGGCAGAGACCATGCTCCAGGGCTCTGTGAGAAAAGGCAGAAATACAACATCAGAAAATACCTCTGAACAGCACAACGCAAATAGCCACGAAAACAAAAAGAGTGAAGGTTCCACCTTGTGGCCCTCCATTCTGTTTCTCGGGAATGACATGCCACAGGTGGTCAGCAGCAGGAGTCAAGGTCACCTCCCTTCACTTCTTACACCCTCTCACATCTGATAATTGCCTGGAATTCTATTTCCAAGACCTGCCCCCTGAGATATCAGGTCCTCCCCATCCCCTGTCAGGTGTCAGCCACCATGTTGTCGCCAAACTCCCTTCTTGGGAAAAAGAAAAGTCAGAACCTCTGTAAGCCTGTCTCCTTATGGGAAAATGCAGGCCAGTGGTACAAAGCAGGTTACAAACAGGAAGAAATACCACTGCACCTGATATTGTTTAAAGTATGACATTAAATCTACTTGACACTTTCAGTTTCTAATGGGTCCAACAGTAAACTTGTTTTCCTACCTTTGTTAATAATATAAAATTTTTTAAGTATCGGTATTATTCAAGGAGCCCTGTGATGGTTATTTAAACACTACAGTGAGTACGAAAGAGCAAATCTTAAGAATTGTGTTTGTAGCCCTAACCCCCACTAGGAGGTGGGGCCTGAGGGGTAACTAGTGTCCATGAGTTCACACTGGGAGGAGGAGAGGGGAAGAGACACTCACCCACTCATCCATTCAATGCATAACTGCTCTTCTCCGTCGTGGTCTAGATGATGTGAATACAGGCAGAGTAAGACAGATGGGGTCCTTGTTGTCCTGAAATTTATAATCTACAGGATGAGGGCAGACGGACAGGAAGAAAACCAACAGGACACTTCCAGAGAACACGTGCTGTGGAGTGAGTAATGGCGGTGACACAACGAGGATGGCAGGGGAGGGAGGGTGGATCTCCACTGGGGAGACATCTGAAAGGACACCCAAATAATCAGGTGTGAGTCCTGCAGAACTGTGGGGGACAGCAATCCAAGTAGAAGTGCAAGTGCAAAAGCCCTGGGGCAGGCTGGGCTGGGTGTGCTCCTGGGACAAGGTGGCCAGGAGGGCTGGAGACACCCTCACAGCGGGGAAGAGTCAAGACCATAGTTCCTATCATAGAAAACAAAAACCATAACTAACCTAGTCTCTCAAGTTCAACTTGACGGTATCACTTCCTAAGCACACAGGAATGGCTGGGAGAGACTGGTTGGCTGGCAGCACTCAGTTCTCAGAGAGAGAGAGAGAGATCTAGCCTCTGAAGGTATAACCCCCTTCATTACTGATGGTCAAGCCTCTGTGCCTGATGCTCCCTTGCAAGGCCTGTGGTAAAATGGGGTCATAAGGATGAGGCCCTAATCCCACATGGCTGGTGTCCTTACAAGAGACACCAGAGCTCTCTCTGCCATGTGAGGACACAGTGAGGTCAGAGGCATCTGCAAGCCAGGAGAAGGGCCCTCATCAGAAACCAACCATGCTGGCCCCTGCTCTAAGACTTCCAGCCTCCAAAACTGTGAGAAATAAATTTCTGTTGTAAAGCCATGCTATCTGTGGTCTTTTGTTACAGCAGCCTGAGTTAACTAATACACCCCACAATGCCTCCAAATGAATGTCTGAATGTACATTTCATAATTTGACATGATTAACCCATGAGATCTTATCCACAATCAGCTATTCCTAAGTATAAATTCTCATTTTCTCCAGACTCCGATGCCTCAAAGAAATCACCAGACTTTGAAGGGGAACTTTATCATCACCACTAATTGCATCACAGCAGGTATGCTGGGAAAAATGCAATCATTCCCTCATTCCACCGATTCAGGATGACGTCCAGGCAAATGAGCACAAAACAGTAAAGGAAGTGAATGAAGAACTCGTTTAACTGAGAAACACTTTATAGCTCTCAGATAAACATGGTAACTCGCTTGGGTAACTGAGCACCCAGGAGTCTCAAGCAGCTTGAGTTAATAAGTGACAAGCAAGTTGCAAAGAGGGAGCCACAGGCAGCAGGTACACTGGGGCTGCAGCGCATCTGGGGACCACAGTGTGCTGATTAACCCTGGGAAGAGCTTACCATCGCTGAGGTCTTGGAGGAGATTCTCCTGGCAGGAAAAGTCCAGCTTCACTTTGATGTTAACAGTGAACGTGGCCACCTTGCCAGGCTGTAGAGGAAACTGAGCAAGGGCTTCTTCTAGTTTCCAGCTCAGGAAGTCACCGTACAATTTTTCTGCAATGACAACAATGCCATGATGACGACGTAACTCATGCAGTAAGAGGCTCACCAATCCCCTAGGAAATTCTGATGCATTCTCAAAAAGCCAAGAAAAATGCAAACCATTTCAGATGTGATAGATCAATGTACCCAGAAAATTCCAGAATCCTGGGTGTCGGGAGGCCATCACCTGTGTGTACGAGCAAGGCATGAAGAGGAGGTGGGGGACTGAGCGAGCTTGGACCCAAGTCACCTTTGCAACCACTAGTGGCTTCCCTTCACTGACAAAATCAATGCCCTCTTTGTTCTGATAAACTAAGAGTTCAACTAAATTTCTCCACAACCAATATTTCCTATGTCATACCACACTGAAAGGAAACTGATCCACGTATAGTAGAAAAACATCTGGGCTCTGCTTGCTAGGAAGGCAGGTCCCAAAGCCCAGGGATACTGCTGTGCAATCTAACACCCTTCAATGGCCACCCTTCTATGAAAGCCTGACACCAGTGAAGATACTGAGGTCTGCAAAGGCCACTCCTCCCCAAAGTGCCTCCAGGCCATTTCTGAACCGGACACCAGGAGCCAGCCACTCACCAAGATCCTTCCCAATGCGATGCTGGGACAGGAGCCAGGGGAGGGCTGGCAGGCGCGTCCAGCTGAACCAGCGTGCATGGGCTGGCATACGGAAATGCCTTGGGAAGGGCAGTCTGGTCTCACCCTTCGTCAGTCCCTCCTCCCCTGCCTGCCCTCACCCCTGTGCCCCAGTTCTTTGGCCCAACTCCAGGGCACCCTTCCAAGGATGCCTTTCCCTTTCCACCTTGCTCCTCTGGGCCCTGACACACACCTCCTGCCTCGAGCTGCTCACACTTCCACCCAACAATCAACAAGTGGGGGCAGGGACTAGAGCTTGCCTTTGAAGCTCACCACCACCTTGAGAGGCAGGGTATCGTGCTAGTTCAGATGCCTTAGGTAAGTTACCGAATGGCCATGTGCCTCAGTTTACTCATGAGTTAATGAAAGTAAAGTACTTAGAATAAGCACCCCACCAGTGTTAGTTACTCCTCCAACTCTGAACCCAATTTCCTCATCATGGCAGGGTAACCACAGCACCCCTGCACCAGCCAGCATGAGGAGCAAATGATTTTCATGGACTGTGGGACCCAATTCAGCTCTTGGAAGGGCACAGCCGTGCTGGTTGCATCAGCATGCAATGACTAACAGCCCTGGCAGTCGGAGAGCACTCGGCAAGCACATGAGACAGAACAGACAAATATCCAAGACATCGCTTCAGATTTAGATATAGAACAGATGGAAAAAGAAGTTACATGCAGAAAGCAGAATACCAAATAAATGTACAACAGAATTTCAACTGCATGAAACTTCACACAGAAAACAAAGGAAAGCACACCTATATGCTGGCACTGCTTGTCTTTGTGTAGTGGGGTCCTGGATGATTTCAAGTTGCTTTGTATTTTCTGAACTTTCAACAATGAGTATACATAGCACAAGTTCATAAATATAAATAGACACACATGTGCTATAGCTCACTCTGTGTCTGAGTTCTCACACACACACACACACACACACACACACGCAGGCTAACAGCTCACTCTGTGCCTGAGTTCTCACACAGACACAGGCTAACAGCTCACTCTGAGTCTGAGTTCTCACACACACAGGCTAACAGCTCACTCTGTGCCTGAGTTTTCACACATACACACATACACACGCTAACAGCTCATTCTGTGTCTGAGTTCTCACACACACAGGCTAACAGCTCACTCTGAGTCTGAGTTCACACACACACAGGCTAACAGCTCACTCTGTGTCTGAGTTTTCACACATACACACATACACACGCTAACAGCTCATTCTGTGTCTGAGTTCTCACACACACACAAACACACGTACACACTAATAGCTCACTCTGTGTCTAAGTTCTCACACACATACGTGCTAACAGCTCACTCTGAGTTCACCCTCTCCAGGGTACTAGGAGAGACACCCTGTGCATTGGGTCTGCAAGTCTGAGCCTGCTGAGGACAGTGGCCCACCGGAGTGACTGAGTGGAGCTCTGAGCCAATGCAGCTGCTGCTCATGGCGCCCTGTATCAAGGCCAGGCAGTAATATGAATTGATCAAGGACAGCGATTGCTGTCGTGTCCCAAACTCAATTCTGCAAACTGGAGAAACAGCTCCAAAGCTGTGGGTTAGATCTGCTGCAGCCACACAAATTGGCAGGTGTTCAAATGCCTGAAAGGTGCCCAGGTTCAGGAAAATCTCGTCCAAATTACTCAGGTAAGTGTTGCCTCTCCCCTCCCCTCCGTGCGGCCCCGGGGGAGGAGAGGGTGGGCCTGGGAGCACAGACAGTCCTCTGCTAGAGGCCTTGGTTGAAAGCATTCATTGGCATAACCGTCTATGAAGTACCACTTTTGCCCGCACACTAGGACTATATTTCCCTGTGTGTAAAAGCGGCAACCAAAGCTCCGAGTCTGGAGAACTTACCAAAGTCCAACAGTGAGTACGAGAAGCAAGAGTTGGGCCGACCAGCAGCACCCCGATCCCCACTACACATCCTGCCTCTCGCCGCTTACCAGAAACCGCTAGCCCTCCCAGCGCTGCGGCCAGAGTGCAGTGTGCACAAGGACCCGTCACTCAGGGGACGAGACGCAGTACCTTGAAAGGAGATGGTAAGACTGAGGTGCAGTCGCCAAGCACGTGAGCTTCAGGGTCACAAACCCCAAGTGCGGGGCCAGCACTACCACTTCCTAGCACGGGAAGTTCCCCGCCCGCAGGGCCAGCCCAGTGGCCGCCCTCCCTGTCTGGCTCATTTACTTCCCACCCACGCTGCCAATGAGCTGAACATGCCAAGTCACAGTGTTGGTTAAAACACATTCCGTTGGTCTTAGGAAGAGCCTGTTTTGTAAACTCCAGCTGGACCCTAGAACTGTGTCAAGCGCTGAACTGTACAAGAAGCCACTGCAACCACAAGCAGAAGGGAGCATTCATGAATGTCAATGTCTTCCCAGGAGGCACTCTGGTGAATCCATTCACAGCGTTACTCAGAGGTAGCACAAGTAACACAGGCTGAGCAGCTGGAATCCCGGCCAAGCCCATGACCATGCTCGACTCCCACACTAACTGGGAGCTCCTCCAGGACAGGGTTCATGTCATGCCTGCTACACAAATGTGACATAAATGCCTGATTCTCAAGTAACACAAAGCCCAGTGAAATGAGTCACTGTGATGGAGTTATTAGCAAGGCGATGCATAGCTGGAGTGGCATCATTAGTCCTACTGGAAGGGGGGCAGCTTCAGGAGGGGGCAGGTGCCTGATGAAGAGACTCTGAGATGCATGTGGGATACCTGGGAGTTAGCACAGTTTCGAATCCACACAAGTGTGTCCAAACACGGCCGGTGGACAAAGACAGTAGAAGCATGTTCTGCACCCTGGAGGGCAGGGGCTTGGAGCAGTTCCGCTGGTGCCCCCACTGCCCAACACCGTAGCTAACAGAGCAGGTGCCCAATAAAGGCTTGCTGAAGAGCTGAGCAGGAGGGTGAAGAACTGGTGGGCACAGGACAGGCAGACGAGCAAGGAGAGGACTCGATGGTGGACAGGAAGGCAGAGAGAGCACTGTGCAAAATCCAGCTGCCCTCCCCACACGGCAAGCCCCAACCAAACACTAGGACTTTTTAATTATACCAACACAGAGTCCTTGCTTTTTGTCCAGAACCAAAGCTAGGAGATGAAGGAATGAAGGGGTGTGTGCATGCTTGTGTCTGTGCACACACTCAGGCTCCCACGGACCTTAGATTTGTTCAAAAGCAAGTACAATGACTCTTCTTCATTGGGCTCTGTTACCATGAAACCTGTGACTACTTAAGCAAAGGGGAGTGTGCACCTCTAACAACCTACAAATAAAGATGCGCCAACAAACGGATTGGAATTTGAATGACTGTGTGACATCGGTGGGCCACCGCTGTCTTGATGGGTGGATCAGAAATGCTTATCCCCAGATCAGGCGCTGTGATCAAGGGGACCCACTCACCCCAAAGAGCCTCAACAACAGTTTAGACGCCTTAGAAGGCCCACACAGGCCTGTTTGATGATTAGTATCACTGATCCTTACTGTATGCTTAAAATGCAAAAGGATTTTTAAAATGAGTTTGTAAGACTAGGAATCAGAACAAGACAGGAGGGTGGAGAAAAGAAAACAAAATGAGAAACTTTTCTCTATCTAAAGAAAAGGGGATTATTCAGAGGGGAGTGAGGATGTGCCCAGATACCTGGGAGGCAGATGACAGGACACTGGCTGCTTCCCAACATCAGGAAGGGAGAGGAAAAGACGTGGGGCCCACAGGCAGGCCCGCCCACAGCCAGGCCCCAGCATGCACACTGTCTGCAGCTGGACTGCGCTACGAATACTCGGTCTTCTTAAAGCAAGCGTGGACTGGGTATGTTGGCGCTCAGAATGGTCCCAGGAGCTTCCCATGCTCTGCATTAACAATGTTAGCCTCATGACAACCCAGGGGGGACTAGTGCTGTACTTACTGAGCGCCTACTATTTTGACAAGCACTATTCTTAGTTTCTAGACACTGGGCACGCAGCAGTGAAATGAGCAGGCCACCACCACCCTCAAAAAGACCTCTTAGGGGTGTTGTGATTACTTCATGAGATAAACGACCTGAAGTGCCATTCACCTGGTGCTAACAAAAGCTATTATTACTACTGAGATACAAAATAACTCTAACAGCAGTACAAAGGAAATCACATGGAACCAGGGAAGAGAGCTTTTCATTCCATATGGAAAAGTTTCATGGTGGAGACATTTTGGGGACCCTGACAGAAGCTAACACAGTGGGTTTAAATAACAGTGATGCTAAAACGAGAAAGGGTGTTTCCCATCATCCGTGATAGGTTCATACTCAGTCTCACTGCCTCCCCCCTTCTCAAACACACAACCCTCACTCATATTCTCAGTGTAAGACTTTTTCCTGTCTTCTCATATATATTAGATCATTTATTAACACTGACAGCTTGGGGTACCGTACAATCTAGGTGACAGGGATTATTCCCTTTGAATATTTTGGAAGCAGATGGTTCCTTTCCATTAATTCAATTCCACATGTAAATGCACTACAGCTTGGGATGAGAATCTGAAAAGAATGACAGCTCCAATTCTTCACTTGCAAGTGTGTTGTTTTGAAAACAGCCATCCCGTGCTATGTGTGATGGGTTGAAGTTCTCGTCTTGTGGTTCAGGGTAACAGCACCAAAGCTGAGAGTCAGGACTTCCCCATGAAGCTTCAGACACATGCTTTATTTCCCCCCAAATCAGTAAGATGCCAGAAATTCTCCCCAGTGGGACAAGCTCAGATTAACCGTTTCTTACACAATCCTTATTTCATGACTTAATTTTCGCACAACACATTCTCCTAAACTCATCCCTGGACCTTCCCTCCAGGTAGAACTAACCTAACCAGATGGCCTGTGGCTCTGCCCCTTAAATGGTTCCCCTGGTTTTCCCATTATGACGTCACTATCGTGAGGAGGGAGCCCCCTGCCAGGGAGGTATGCACAGATGCACAGTACCTCCTTTCCTGGGCACAACAAGACCCATCAAGCTCCCTCCCTGCCACCACCACCACTTGTCTGGCTCACCTCACTCTGCCCTCAAGGCAGGAAAACACCCTCTGGTCCTGCTGGCTTGCTTTCCCTCATTTGTCTTTCTCTGTCTGGTCTCGCTGGCCAGGATAATTTCTCTAACTATTAGATGACATGCTTTTATTTCTTTTCACCACCCTTCACACCTTTCCCTCCTCCTTTACAACAAGGCCCCATGGTCAACGCCACTCACTAACCCTGCTGTACCAGGTGTTCCACCATACGCTCCCTCAATGAATTCTTGGAAAAACTACATGGTAAACACTACCTCCCCTATTTTCCCAGGAGGAAACAGGCACAAAAGGCAAAAACAGCTAGTGAATGATGAAGCCAAATTTCAGCACGGGTCTTCTGACCACAAGCTGCCTGTGCCTCTGACCCAAGAGGCAGAGCGCCTGCTTCTCAGAGGGACACACAGGCTCTACCTGCTGAATCCACTTAGAAGATGCTGGCTTGCGGGTTAGGGGGTGGTCCCAGGTGGGAATGCTTCTGAGCCTGCTAATATCCTCTGCATTCATTCACTCAAGAATACTTTTCCTGGGGGTCTACAAATACAAAGCGCACGGGATACAAGGGTGCATTCTTTGCTCCGTTATGTCCCTGTGTGCGCTCCTCACGTGTAATCAGGACGCCAGTTTCATGATAGCATCAAGTAAAAGTGGGAAAAGCTTTTAAATTCTCTAAACACTGTATTAAAACATGGTTCTTGCCCTGGCAGGTGTGTTCAGTGGTTAAAGTCTCGGCCTGCCCACCAGAAGAAGGGTCGCGGGTTCAATTCCTGGTCAAGCGCATGTACCTGGGTTGCAGGTTCGTTCCCCACAGTTGGGGCCCGTGAGGGAGGCAGCCAATCAATGTGTCTCTCTCACATTGATGTTTCTCTCTCTCTCCTTCTCATTCCCCTTAGCCCTTCCCTTCCACTCTCTGAAAATCAATGAAAAAATACCCTCACTCCTCAAGTGAGGATAAAAGAAGTGTTTTGCTGAGGTCAAACCTGCTTAAAACACCCACCTTTGGTGGTGAGAATTTTGGAGGTGACTTCCAGTTTCTCCAAGGGCTCCATTCCGATATTTTCCAACTTGATGACAAGTTGCTGAGTTTCTCCATTGTAAAGTTGGACAGACACATTCGTAGATATTTCATCACCAGAGGCAGGTTGCAGGGAATGTGCAGATCTAAAATAATAGTAATAATAATAATACATCTTATAAACAAAGAAGAAAAGAAAACCAATGGCATTTTAGAGTTATGCATATCACCACACTTAGGAATTTCAGAAATAGGAACTAGGGAACCTTGGCGTTAAATATCGAATTCAGTGCCCAGCTACCAGGAACAGGAGGGTGGATCACCACAGGGGATCAGGGCAGATCCAAGTGGTGTTTATATGTGCCACAGAGAGCTTGCATCCCCATACTATCTGGTCTAAAGTGCAGAAAAGAATGTTCCAGACAGGGCTGGTCTCGCACCTCTGCTGTGCAAGGGAAGAGCCGACATTTCAACAAGTCAGGCTTACGAAGCCAGTCACACTCGGCCCAGGGGCCTCTGGTTCCAGGCTGGGGCAGAGGATTTGCTTTTGATGTCAATCAAAGAACTCTTTGCCTAACCCAAGATCACAAAAATTTTCTTTTAAGAGTTTTATACTTTTAGCTCTTACAATTAGCTCTGGGATCCCTCCTGAATTCATTTTTTCTGCTTTTCATTTTATTCCCCAATCATGTGATGCTCCTCTCACCCCCTCCTGCACACCTGCACACTTTACCCTGCTAACCTCTCGCGTCACACATGTCATCTCCTGGAAGGACTCTCCCCCAGCCCCATCAGAGTCCTGACAACAGCGCACTGGGATTGCTGGCTCCCTGTCAGTCTCCCCACTGCACTGGAACTGCCGGGCAAGGACCAGGGCTGATGGGTTCATTCCTGTGGCCCCAGTGTCTAGCACAGTGCCCATGACATATGTGAAGGAGCTTTTAAGACACTTCAGGAAATACTAAGATACATTTTATAAAAACAGCCAAAAGAATAAATATTAAAGACTTCTCCATAAGAGCAAAAATTGAGAAAATCCCAAATTAGAAGAGTTAGGAAATGAACAGTGATGTGGTTCTGAGACACTTTTTTAAAATGTATTTTATGAAGCTATTGAAATAAAAATTTTAGCTTATGTTACATGGTTATGCAAAAAGTAATCTACAACACTACTTATAATAAAGTATAATCTCAACTATTCTAACATCTACAGGGTGGGTAAAAGTAGGTGTGCAGTTGTGAGTCCACGAAACACAGAGTTTATTCTTGTATTATTATTAATTATTGTATTATTTATTTGTATTATGTCTTGTCAGTATTATTGTTGTTGTTATCTTGTATCCTTACTTACGGATTTATCTTTTAGGTAATGATGCTGATAATTTAACCTACTTTTGCCCACCCCTGTATTTAAAAAGAAAGAATGGCTATACCCATGAAGGAAAGGAAACACCAGCAACATTAAGAGGAACTGCCTCTGAGACACCTGAGATGTATTTCACTTTTTTTTTATGCTTTCCTATAATGCTATTTTTTATTTTTTACAATGCTATTTTTTAAAAGATAACAGTTTTTCTTAAATTTCCTAAAACCCTCACTATATTTCATAAAAATTATGATTCCAGAGGCTAAATTCACACTTTGTTCTGCTCTTGGTAAGAAACACTTCAAAACTGCTCCAATTCTCTGCAACAAAGCACGTTGCTCTCTGTTATCCTGAACAAAGCCCTCACCCATATTCTGGTTGGAAAGTCAGAGATAAACTCCAACTCCTGGTGCCACTGAGAAATATGAACTAAAAGATCTGCTTTGGTGCCATTTGTTGTTGAAAGCCAACACCTGCGCTCCCCGTGCATCTACCTGGGCAGAGACGTGCTTATCTGGAGCCTGGGCAGCGCAGGAATGACTTCGACTGTGGAGCCGCTGGTCTTTACTCCCGGGAGGTTGTCCAGCAAACAGTCGCTAAAGACGCCAAAGACGGTGGTATGGTACCCTAGGAAACAAGAGGAAAAGCTTCACACAGCCAGGACCGGCTTCCAGTCTCATGCCTACACCGAAGGCAGCCCCCAGTAGTGATAAGAGAGTGGGGTCCCTCTCTGAAGACCCGAGTTGAGATTCAGGCCCATTACCTGCCAGTCTCACCCATAGCTCCTGCACTCAACCCCGAAGACCCTCAGTTTCCTCATGGAGAGTAGAGGGGATGGTGGCACCTGCATTCCTACCTCACACGGCTAACTGCGCCCAAATGAAAGTGTGCATATGAGAGTCTCTGTAAACTGGAAATCTCTGCACAACTTAATAATTCTATCTCATCCCCTTACTAATGTGCCTTTCAAGTGGTTTTATCTCTAAAGCGACAATGAGAGCCAATATTCCTTTCCAGGATACAATGTGACTTAAGTATTTGAAAAATGATTCAAAATCTTCTGTTGAGATGAAAGCTCAAGAGCCAACTATTGTCATTATCACTGCGACGTGAGATGGCAAATCTGCTGCATATGTACACGAACTACAATGTAAGATTAGCAAACTTTCGTGCAAAAAAAACAAACAAAACTCCATGGATTACATAGGCACTTGAAATTGTTCAAGCAAAGCTTTAATGGCTTTTGAAATGTTGAGAGAAGCATTATAAAAAACACTCACTGTGTAACTAAATGAAACAATACCCAGTGGTTGGGATTAGAATGCCAGCTGACAGGTGACAGGCCTCAGTGAGGCAGGACAACAGAGCGGCTGTCCTATCAGATGGGAATCAGGTAGAACTTTCCCTTACCATTCACAGTAATTGTTCCCGTCGTCTGGGGGACCCCAACGAGCGTCACTGGGTAAAGACCAGACTCAGCCGGAAGGGAAAGTGCAGCAGGAAGAGATTCAAACTCCACTCCACTCGTGAGGAGCCCCTAGAACAAGGGACAGACAACATGAATAAGCACAGCCAGATCCACAACTTCACGGTGGGTTACAAATTAGCCTTGGTACAGCCACTAACAGGCCAGCTCCAGGACTGACAGAGTGAAATGGCTTTTATAAAACTCCAGAGAATGGTGGAGACAGGCTAAAAGCGTAATTAACATAAAACAACCTTGAGCCCTGGCCAGTGTGGCTAAGTTGGTTGAGCACTGACCTGTGCACCAAAAGGTTGCGGTTCAATTCCTGGTCAGGGCACATACCAGGCTCGATCCTTGGTGGAAGGTGTGCAGGAGGCAGCTGATTGATCTTTCACTCTCACATTCATGTTCTCTCTCTCTCCCTCATCCTTCCTCTCTCTCTAAAAATCAATAAAAATATTTCTTTATAAAACAACCTTGAAATGGAAAGCACTATGAGTGCTTGAACAAGTCTATCTTGATATTAGCCCTGATTGTTATTTTTTCTATATTTGTTTGGTTTTGTTGTTTTACCAAATGGGAATGTAAACAAAAAAGAAAAAACATAAAGCGTGGAAATGTATCATCCAGTAATATCCCTCCAGTGCATCTATAAATCATCAATTCATTTTGATAAGTACCAGGCACTACACTTGATGGTGAACGAGACACATTCCCTGGCCTCAAGGAGCTGCTCCATGACTGGAAACAATGCAGATGTCAGTTCCGGACTTCTCAACATTGTAACAGATATGCTACCCCATGCAATAAGGCAAGAAAAAAAATAAAAGACATACACACAATTATTCACACACAAAAAAAGTGACCATAGAAAACCCTATGGAATCTAAGTGAAATTTAAACAAGTGCATTTAGCAAAGTGACCAAGTCATCATTCTGGAAAAAAAAAGCAACCCTAGCCAGTTTGGCTCAGTGGTTAGAGCATCAGCCCTTGGACTGAAGGGTCCCAGGTTCGATTCCAGCCAAGGGCACATACCTCGGTTGCAGGCTAGATCCCCGACCTAGTCAGGTGCATGTGGGAGGGAAAAAGTCAGTATGTCTCTCTCACATTGATGTTTCTCTCTCTCTTTCTCTATCTCTCCCTTCCATGCTCTCTGAAAAGCAACGGAAAAAATATCCTCGGGTGAGGATTTTAAAAAAAAAAGTGGAGGAGGGAAGATGGCGGCAATGTGAGAAGCAACAGAACACCCCAGCTCCCAGCGACAGACTCGAACTACTCCTAAAATACTATGTAGCCAGCTTGGAAAAACCAGAGAAACATACCTGAGTGGATGGAGTGCGAGTGGGGAGCACTGAAGAAACATCACAGGGTCAGGTAAAGGGGGGGGCGCAGAAAGGGGGAGTCCCCCCTGAAGCCTGTGCTGGGCTCCGAGCCTGGAGGCTTGGAGACTGCAAAGCTCCCTCCCCTCGGGAGTGCGGACCGGCCTCCAAAAGCGGGGATCTCACACCCGGAGCAAAGGAGAGGGGAAGAAGTGCCCCACACAGAGAGCAGAGGGACCCAGGGTAGCAGTGAGCCTGCGACTTCCTAGGAAACAAAGCCTCTGATGGCAGATGGAGTCTTCCTAGCAAAACAAAGCTTCTAGTGGCAGCCACAACCCACGTCTAATGCTCAGGGTGCTGACCATAGGAAGGGCGTGGCACCCCAGTGGTAAGGGACCAGAGGACTGCGCTGAGCAGCCGCACACAGGGACCCTCTGCCTCCCTGTAAGGCACTGTGTTGAGCCCCAGAAGGCACTGAATCTGTGTGACGTTGGGGAGGGGAGGTGCCCTCCTGCCCTGAGCTCCCGGTGCCTAGAGTCTGGGATCTGTGGCCAGCCCTGAGGGTGTCCTCCTGCCCTGAGCTCCTGGGGCAGAGAGGCTGGGATCTGTGACCAACCCTGAGGGGAGCCGTGTGAAGGGTGGCGTGTGAAGTTGCCCCAGCTTTGCTGAGACCAGCGGTGCGGGGAGCTGCGTGGAGCTGACTTTGGGTCCCCTCCCGCTGGGTGCCTTGGCGCACGGGTGGCGGGACCCTGCAGGGCAGACTCTCTGCCTGGGTGTTGCTTTGTGCTTTTTTATTCTGATCATAGAACTGGCTCCCACCTTCCCAGCGTGTACTGCAGGGCAGACTAACAAAGGCTGGGATTGGCGTCTGCACAGACTGTTTGAGGGGCGGACCTGGTGCGACCAGCCAACCACAGCTGAGAAGGGGGGCAGAGCCCGCCTGCCTCTCCTGCAGCCTAGGAGCACCCCCCACACACAGAAAAGGGGCTGGTCCCGCTCACTGAGGCCCCGAACACACCCGCAGGGCACAGTCCTGAGGGGGACAGGAGAGCAGCTCACAGGAGGACATCACAAGAACAAAATCTCAGGGACTATTGTTTGGGAACTGGAGGAAACCCTGAAAACCCCTGCTGGGGGCTGGGAAGGCAGAGGGCTCACCAGAATGTTTTTTTAATCGAACCCACTGAGCCCAGGCTGCTGAAAGGGCCCATATAGAAAAGGCAATAGGCTGAAATCAATCTGAAGCTGCAGCAGGCCAGAGCCTGGGGAGCTAGAATCAGAGGACAAGGTAGGGACTGAGGAGCTGGCGGTGGAGCACAGACTAACTCCCACAGAGTGAGCGCCTGACAGTGACACCTCTAAGGGGAGTGATACCCTGAGCTACACTAGCCACCCTGCACCCTAAAGACTCTACAGAAGACTCTGGAGCAAAACCAGGCAACTCTAAGGTTGCAAAACAGCTGACAAGAGGAAGTTGTCCACGGAGAGCCTCAGATCAACCATCTACCTAAGGACACCAGAGCCAAACCTAGACGGCTCCTCACATTGGCTGACACAAAGCACCTCCCAGGAGAACTGAAATCAGCTCACAAAACAGTGACCCGCAGACAACATAGGCTGCCCAGAAGAAACCCACCTGATTGACTGTCTTTTTTTCTTTTCTTTTTTTTTGTGTGTGTGTTTTGTCTGGGTTTGGTTTTGGGTTTTTTTTCTTTGGGTGTTTGTTTGTTTTTTCTCTTTTTTCCATAGGAAGAAGAGAAAGGGGGCAAAATTTGTTTTTTCTTTCTTAAATTTTATAATAATGTTTTTTTAATTTTTTTAAAAACATTTTTAACTAAATTTTTTCCTCTTTTATAAAAGAATTTTGTCTTCCTTAGCTTGTTTTTAGTTTTGTTTTGTTTATTTGCTTTGCTTTGTTTTATCCTTGCTTCTACTCTCAAGACTTTCTTGATATCCCTGCTTAATGACTGGGACTTTATCATTATAACCAAGTTTACTGCTTTCCTCTATAGTTTCCCCCAAATCTCTTACCAGACACCCTCCCTGCCTGGGCTTTATCTCTCTCTCTCCTCTCGATCCACTGGCATAACTTTTTTTCTTTTTCTTTTTTCTTTTTATTCTTTTCGTAATTTCGTTATCCTCCCTTCTGTCTTCCTGTCTTTTTGTTCAATTGTTAGTTTCTCTTATTCTCTTTATTGTATTTTTGTTTTCTCATTTTCATATTCTCTCCCTTAATTTTTTGCCGGCCCTTCTTTCAGAATCTTTTCTCTGCCTCTGTTATCTCCCAGTAGCTTCTCTATTTTTTACACTTTAGTTTATTATTATTTTCTAAATTTTCACCACTAATAACAACAATAACATCTCTCTCTCTAAGCGTTACTTTTCTGTCTCTCTTTTTTTTAAGATTTTTTTTTGTGTGTTTGTGTGTTTTCCCTTCACTCTCCCAGTTCTGTTTTCACATGGGTTGGTTTCATTGTGATTGTCAAGATATTTTGTAAGATATCCCTTGTTTCTGGGAAGTTTAGTTGTGTATTGTCCTGCCTTGCCAGCACCCGTACAACAGCTTACAGGACGAGGTTGGGGCTGAGACACAGTTAGCCAGCCTGAGAGGAGAGTCCTCCTAAGGACTGATCAATGACAATCTAGACCCAACCACAACAAGAGAACATAAAGAAACCACAAAAGAGACACCCACAAGAGGGACATGCCTAGAGCAAAGAGCTCAGAAGTATAAGGAAAACACACCTCTGGGCTCCACTGGACCCACAAGACAAANTCCCCTGGTCTCACAATACAAAATCCCATCTCACAAGACTGGGAGACAGCAAATATACCTAATATATAGATACAAACACTAAGACCTACCAAAATGGGGAGATAAAGAAACAACCCCCAAATTAAAGAAAAGGAAACATTGCCAGAAGTCTTTGATGAGATGGAGTTAAGCAAGTTATCAGAAACAGAGTTCAGAGTATTGATGATGAATATGTTCAAGGAACTTAAAGAGAAAAACAAGGCAATAGAGGATAAGATCGAGGACTTTAGGGAAAACATGAAAAAAGAGATACAAAACAAAAATCAAACAGAAATAAAGATATCAAGAATACACTGGAAAGAATTAAAAGTAGGCTCAATGAAGCAGAGGATAGAATAAGGGACTTAGAAGGCAAGGTAGAAAAAATCAATCAGAGCAGCAAAAAAAAAAAAACACTTAAAAAGCATGAGGACAGTCTAAGGGAGCTTTGGGACAACATGAAGAGGAACAACATTCGCATTATAGGAGTGCCAGAGGGGGAGGAAAGAGAGCAAGGGGTAGAGAACTTGGTGGAGGAAATAATGACAGAAAACTTCCCTAGGCTGGTGAAGGAGAAAGCCGCACAAGTTCAGGAAGCACAGAGGGTTCCAAACAAGAGGGACCCAAAGAGACCCACTCCAAGACACATCATAATTAAAATGGCAAATGGCAAGGACAAAGAGAAAATATTACGGGCTGCGAGAGACAAGCAGTGACGGAGAAGGGAACCCCCATAAGGCTGACAACAGCTGATTTCTCAACAGAAACTCTTCAGGCCAGAAGGGAGTGGCATGAAGTTCTCCAAGTAATGAAAAGCAAGAACATGCAACCAAGATTGCTTTATNAAAGGGGAAAATGGCATTAAATAAGTTTATATCAATAGTAACTTTAAATGTAAATGGAATAAATGGCCCAATCAAAAGACATAGGGTAGCTGAATGGATAAGAAAACAGGACC